ACAGATTTTTCCCCTGTAATTGATATCTAGTCTCATAGCGTTGTGGTTGGAAAAGATACTTGATACGATTTCAATTTTCTTAAATTTACCAAGGCTTGATTTGTGACCCAAGATATGATCTATCCTGGAGAATGTTCCATGAGCACTTGAGAAGAAAGTGTATTCTGTTGTTTTCGGATGGAATGTCCTATAAATACAAATTAAGTCTATCATGTTTAATGTATCATTTAAAGCTTGTGTTTCCTTATCTGTTTTCATTTTGGATGATCTGTCCATTGGTGAAAGTGGGTGTTAAAGTCCCTTACTATGATTGTGTTCCTGTCGATATCCCCTTTTATGGCTGTTAGCATTTGCCTTAGTATTGAGGTGCTCCTATGTTTGGTGCATAAATATTTACAATTATATCTTCTTCTTGGAGTGATCCCTTGATCATTATGTAGTGTCCTTCTTTGTCTCTTCTAATAGTCCTTATTTTAAAATCTGTTTTTTCTGATATGAGAATTGCCACTCCAGCTTTCTTTTGATTTCCATTTGCATGGAATATCTTTTCCCATCCCCTTACTTTCAGTCTGTATGTGTCCCTAGGTCTGAATTGCCTCACTTGTAGACAGCATATATACATGTCTTGTTTTTGTATCCATTCAGCCAGTCTGTGTCTTTTGGTTGGAGCATTTAATCCATTTACATTTAAGGTAGTTATCAATATGTATGTTCCTATGACCATTTTCTTAATTGTTTTGGGTTTGTTATTGTAGGTCTTTTCCTTCTCTTGTGTTTCCCGCCTAGAGAAGTTTCTTTAGCATTTGTTGTAAAGCTGGTTTGGTGGTGCTGAATTCTCTTAGCTTTTGCTTGCCTGAAAAGCTTTTGATTTCTCCATCAAATCTGAATGAGATCCTTGCTGGGTAGAGTAACCTTGGTTGTAGCTTTTTCTCTTTCAGCACATTTTCCTGCCAGTCGCTTCTGGCCTGCTCAGTTTCTGCTGATAAATCAGCTGATAACCTTATGGGGATCCCTTTGTATGTTATTTTTTTGTTTTTCCCTTGCTGCTTTTAATAATTTGTCTTTGTATTTAATTTTTGTTAGTCTGATTAATACGTGTCTTAGTGTGTTTTTCCTAGAGTTTATCCTGTTTGGGATTCTCTGTGCTTCTTGGACTTGGGTGACTATTTCCTTTCCCATGTTAGGGAAGTTTTCAACTATAATCTCTTCAAATACTTTCTCAGACCCTTTCTTTTTCTCTTCTTCTGGTACCCCTATAATTCGAATGTTGGTGCGTTTAGTGTTGTCGCATAGGTCTCTGAGACTGTCTTCACATTTTTTTTTCCTACATTCTGCTCTGTGGGAGTTATTTCCACTATTTTATCTTCCAGGTCACTTATCTGTTATTCTGCCTCAGTTTTCCTGCTATTGATTCCTTCTAGAGAATTTTAAATTTCATGTATTGTGTAGTTCATCATTGTTTGTTTGCTCTTTAGTTCTTCTAGGTCCTTGTTAAACGTTTCTTGTATTTTCTCCATTCTGTTTCCAAGATTTGGATCACCTTTACTATCATTACTCTGGATTCTTTTTCAGGTAGACTGCCTATTTCCTCTTCATTCATTTGGTCTGTTGGGTTTTTACCTTGCTGCTTCATCTGCTGTGTATTTCTCTGTCTTCTCATGTTGCTTAACTTACTGTGTTTGGGGTCTGGTTTTCTCAGGCTGCAGGTTCGTAGTTCCCATTGTTTTTGGTGTCCGCCCGCAGTGGCTGAGGTTGGTTCAGTGGGCTGTGTAGGCTTCCTAGTGGAGGGGACTAGTGCCTGTGTTCTGGTGGATGAGGCTAGATCTTGTCTTTCTGGTGAGCAGGACCATGTCCGTTGGTGTGTTTTGGCGTCTCTGTGACCTTACTATGATTTTAGGCAGCCTCTCTGCTAATGGGTGGGTTTGTTTTCCTGTCTTGCTATTTGTTTGGCATAGGGTGTCCAACACTGGAGCTTGCTGGTTGTTGAGTGGAGCTGGGTCTTGGCATTGAGATGGAGATCTCTGGGAGAGCTTTTGCCATTTGATATTATGTGGAGCCGGGAGGTCTCTGGTGCACCAATGTCCTGAACTCAGCTCTCCCACCTCAGAGACTCAGTCTTGACACCCGGCTGGAGCACCAAGACCCTGTCAGCCACAGGGCTCAGAAGAAAAGGGAGAAAGAAAGAAAGAAAGAAAGAAAAAACTAAAATAAAATAGAATAAAGGTTTTAAGATAAAAATTTTAAAAATTATTAAAAATAAAAAAGTAAAAAGAAAAAAAGCGGACAGGCAGAACCCTTGACAAATGGTAAAAGCAAAGCTATGCAGTCAGAATCACTCCAAGAAGCGTACACATACACACTCATAAAAAGAGAAAAGGGAAAAGAAATTATATATCTTTTGGGAAGTCTGAGGTCTTCTGCCAGCATTCAGTAGGTGTTCCGTAGGAGCTGTTCCACATGTAGATAGATGTATTTCTGATGTATTTGTGGGGAGGATGGTGATCTCCGTGTCTTACTCCTCCACCATCCTGAAGGTCTCTCTTATATTTTTGATCAAGGAGATTGATTCTGTTTTGAAAGGAATGAAAGATGTTGGGAAATAAAAAATACTGCAGTTGTTACTGGTCTTATCTCGGGGACAAGAGGTATTCCAAAAAAACTAGAGCCAATGATTTTTCCCTAAAATTGCTGTCTGGTATTTTAGAAGATTACTTCATAATGTCATTCCAGCATTTACAACAATACTGCTTCTCACTTTTTTGTTTTTTCAGTGTTTAAGTTTTTTACTCACCACACGTAATACAATTCTTCAGCTAAAACAGGAGTAATGAGACAAAATGGTTCTGAAAAGTACAATAGAAAAATATTGTCCACTGGTTTATTTTTCCAAATGAGTAATAGGCTGTTTACAAATAAGTAGATCTCCAATGATGTATTTTAAAATGGCAAATCTATTACTGTTTGAAATCTAAATTAAAAAAAATTTACTGCTTCTCACTTTTAATAGTACCTTTCATTCCTTCTGATATTTTTATTATTTAGAAAGAAGTAAAGCCACTAGTTTGAAAAATTATGCAAGTTCTTATCAGGGCAAAGGGCCCAGTTGTGACATGCCGGCATGGTCCCTTTGTCTTTATATAAGCTCTTTGAGCCTCAGTATCTTTCACGATAAAGCCGGCGTGAGGAAATCTCCTAACAGGATCGTTGTGATGATCAGATCAGAACGCGGGTGTCAAGCACTTGATGCCATACCTAGCGTGTGTCAGCTGTGATGTGGTGTTGTTCCTATTTAATACCTGGGTTATTGGATTTATAAATAATTTAACATCTTCCTGGGCTTCGTAACTTAACAGTACATGTGGGTCAGTTTAAGTGTTCAGAATCAGCACTTAGTTTCATTACTGTTGAGAGGAATTGTTAATCATTCTAGGACATGGTAAAGACCCATGTTGGTAAAAATGTGTTTTTAAGATGCCAGTATCTCCTGCTGAGTATGTTTTTGGCATTCTAAAAGTAAAGAATTTGGTTTTCTCTTGCTTGCTTGCTTTTTGCTTGCCTTTTCAGTTACGTCTGCTGACAAGGTAAATAATTAAGATGAGAAAATAATTGTTTCATGTTGTGGCTTGAATTTTGAGATCTTATTGCTGTACTTCTAGAAAGAGATGACCAGAGCTGTAAAACTAAATGAAGCATACACTTGGGAAAACAAAATTTTCTTTCTCTGTGTTCTTTTCTGAAAACCCTAATAGAAGTAATAAAATAAATAGTTTCACCAGAAATGCTCAGTGATCCCCAGCAGACTTCCTTAGGATGGTGTACATGTTCATGAGAAGCTCAGTGATCCCCAGCAGACTTCCTTAGGATGGTGTACATGTTCACGAGAAGCTCAGTGATCCCCAGCAGACTTCCTTAGGATGGTGTACATGTTCATGAGAAGCAGTGATCCCCAGCAGACTTCCTTAGGATGGTGTACATGTTCATGAGAAGCGTTTCTGCCTTCCTGTCAAAGGCCAGTCACGTGGATTTGTGCTTAGTGTGTAATGTAATATTTCTAAAGTTCTTAAGCTAATTTAGTTCTATTTGAAAATTCTTGTGTGCCAATCTCTCCCTCTCTCTCTCTTTTTTGCTTTTGTGTGTGTGCGGCTTTGTGTGAGAGAGTGGGGAAGCTTGACCACAGGGGTCAGGTACTGCCCTTGAGAGGGTAAGGTGCCCTGGATCCCAGATTATATAAAGTAGCCGTCAGTGCAGAGTTTGAAGAACATTTCTGTCTTTTCCCTTTCATGAGTTAAAGCCCGGTTTGGTTGGTAGCAAAGAGACAGAGCTGAGAGTGACGGGGAGGGAAGGAGAGGGGACAGTGTGGAGGAGAGAGAGAGAGGGAGACAGAGAAAGGGAGAGAGAGAGGGCGTGAGGAGGTGGTTTTTTTTTTTTTTTAATATTTATTTATTTATTTGGTTGCACCGGGTCATAGTTGCAGCACTTGGGCTCCTTAGTTGTGGCCGGCGGGCTCCTTAGTTGTGGCCGGCAAGCTCCTTGCTTGTGGCATGAATGTGGGATTTAGTTCCCTGACCAGGGATCAAACCTGGGCCCCTTGCATTGGGAGCGCAGAGTCTTATCCACTGTGCCACCAGGGAAGTCCCCGGAGGTGGGAGTTTAAGGTGATGGAAGCACGTATACATGAAACCTTTTTTTCTCTCCAAACATGAAACTGAATAAAGGAGGGAACAAACACTGGAAGAAAGAGCCAGGGCCTTCTGTGATACCTTCCATGTGGTGTGCAAAACTCAGACTTCATCGCCGGCGTCCTGGGAGGGATGGCATTGCCACCTGTCCCAGGGGAGCCAGGGATGCCGGCCTTTCATGGGGTCCTGCCGGGCCAGGAGGGCTGGGGACACAGCTTCGCGAGAGTGGGTGGGCAGGCTGTGATGCTGGGCGCCCAGTGGCCCATAGAGTCCTGTTTCCTCTTGTTTCTGTCTGAGCCTCTTCCACATGTTTGTTTCCAGGTGGCAGAGATAAGCGCGGGGGTCCCATCCTAACCTTCCCGGCCCGCAGCAATCATGACAGGATACGACAGGAGGACCTCCGGAGGCTCATTTCCTACCTGGCCTGTATCCCCAGGTGAGTCCCGCGTGGTCGTGGCTGGTCCCTGTCCCAGAGGTGCAGCGCTGCACACACTCCCCAGAAAACAGCCCACAGGAGCCTGGATTCTGATCAAAGTGCTGTCAAGTGAAAATCATGGTCTTTCTCCTTATTTTCCTTTTGTGACCCTCCTCGGTGCGGGGCTGAGAAGGGCAGTGTTCTGAGTGAGCAGGCTTGTGTGGTGGCGATGGGGGTGGCTTGGCCACCGGGCGGGGACCTTAGGTTGTGGTGCCCAAGGTGGAGGTAAAGCAGAGATGATCCTGATAACGGAGACCCGGCGGGCCGGAGGCTCACCAGTGGAGTGTGGTTTCCGAGAGGAACTTTGTGGCTCTGTGCTGCGCTTCAGTTCCTGGGAAGTATTCGGTTGATTTGTAGCGTGAACTTTGCAGGGCACTCAGAATCCCTACCAGCTAATGTCCCGGGACATGGAGTTTGGGAGCTCTCATTCAATCTGCGACCCGCTAGTGACAGCCAGGGGGATTTTCGGCGTAGATGCCAAGGAACACGAGGAATAGGCAAGGCTTTATTTTCTGGAGAGCCCTGACGTGAGGAGCGGTTAACAGCAGTGGGCCAGTGTGTATACCTGCGGAGTCTAGCATCTTTGCTTCTGCTCTAGAAACATATTACTGAGGTTTTACCTACAGAGCGAGCTGACAGCTGGCAGAAGAAACCCTCCCCCGCCTCCCACATTAACATCTCCATTTAATGGTTAAGATTAATTTTTGGAAAACAAAGTACTGCTCTGATATGATCCAAGCATACAGCCAGGCCTGGCATAAGAGGTGGCTGTGTGCCGGGGGTCGGAGCGGGACCCCCTGTGAGGAAGAGGTACTCTCACCCCAGAAGCGGGTGTGCTAAAGCAGGGCATGGCTGATGTGCGCCAGTGAAGAGGGATTTCCTAGGAGACTAAACGAGCGCCTGAAAAAGGACACTCGGTCATAATATAGACTAACGAGTAGCCGTAAGGAACATGCTAACACCAGGAAAGCATAAAAGATGGTCAACAGCAGCGTAGTGGATTCTAAAGTTTGAGGTGAGTGTAACAGATCGCCCACGGAGCAGGGCTTGTGACTCTCCCGCGACCTCTTTGGGTTGACACCAGCCAGGGAAACAGCACTGTCCTCTGGCAACCCATCCTCACGGTGGCTGAGGAAGGTCAGCTTTGGTGTCGATGGTCTGAGCTTCAGAGGGGGTTCTTGGGTTTTTCTGTAGGGTATCCTTTGTGGGAAAGCTATTACATCAAATCATCAGCAACACATTAATGGGCCCCTGCTTAAATATGTGGAAAAGTTTTCCCTTTCCTCTTACTCTGATATTTTCTTGGACTGTTGAACTGTTGAAATCACAGAGTTGGAAAGAGTTTTAGAAGTTATTTTACTACTCACTGTCACTTATAAATAACAACACAGTTTACAGCCACTACTTACTGAGCTCTTACTATGTGCCATGTGCTGTGCTAATGATGAAAAAGAAACAGATACAGACGATGATGTGAAAAAACAGATCCCTGCCATCCAAAATGATGCTTGGTATATAGTTCAGTGAAACACAAGTTGAATTTCACCCAGGTGATCTTTTAGAAAACATTTACACCGTTGGAATTCTGTATATAACTTTGGCAACTTGCTTTCTGGTTTTGAAATCCATATTGATTATAAATGTAAAAAAATTACTTTTCCTTTCATTGATATCATAAAGAAATCGATTCAAGTATATTTTGAATCAGCTGGATGACCCACTTTAAAAAAAAACAAACACAAAACTTTGTCCTGGGAATCGTGAGTGTAAACAAAACTAGAGAGAAGCGAACACCCATGGGCCCATCATCCAGCTCCAACGATTATTGGATTCTGCCAATCTTGTCTACTTCCCCAAGAAAACATAGCAAATCCCAGATATTCTCTCATTTCTCTCGTAAGTTCCTCGGTGTGTAGAGTGACCCTCCAAGCACCGAGCACAGTCAGTTCGTTTCATTGCCTGGCTTTGCTTTTGTATTTACAATTTCAAGTGACAGGCAATGCCAGTTTCTTGTTCTTGGTTAATGAGCAAATGAGAGAGATGGGATTAATTTGTATGTAAATGATGCGTTTGCCAAATCATAGTGGAGGAAGGTTTCCCAGTGGTCCAAATAGAAGTGGCCACAAAAAGAGTCCTCTCCAGGTCCACCGCAGGTCCTACAGCGACTGACAGAGAACCTTAGTGCCGCCTTCAGGGAGCCTGCAGAGGTGGGAGAGCTCTGGTGTTAGCCAGACAGTGGGATCACTGATCATGTCAGGAGATTAATGGTGTGTGAATTTTGGGGGACTTGTGGGTTGGCTTGTTCTTTATTTGAGTCTATAATTTGTTGTTACAGTTTCAGCGTGAAATACACAGTCCTGGGCAGTGGGAGGGGCAGGGGGTGGATGTCCTGTGGGACTCCTTTCTCTGTCCACCACTGTCAATGTTTTCTGTGACATGATGGTAGCCTCTGGCTGCCCCTCAGCCAGACAGTTACAGGGCTACACATTCCCGGATTTGGAGAAGTGTGCCATCCGGGAAAGCTTGGGGGTCAGAGTCAGACGGACTGACCTGGTTTACTTAATTTTATGGGGTTTCTGATCTACGAGATGTGATAGTAATCTGTACTTCTCGGATCACTGTATTAAGTAAGATTATTTATGTACATGCCCAGCACAGTGTCTGACTCATGGTAGCTGTCTCAGAAGTGGTACAGTAATGTCCATCTTTCGTATTTGCTCTTTGACTTCCCTTCAGTTGATTTTCTTTTTGCCATGTGTTCTAGAACCAGATCATCTTGTCTGTTTTTTTTCTGCGTGGCCTCCTGTCTTTGCCTCTTAAAATGTGGCCCCCAGAGTTAAAACATAATGTGATCTGAGAGTGGTGACTAGTTTTGAGTACTGTTGTTTGGGCCACCTTCCCTCCCCTCTCCCTTCCTTAAAAAACAAACAAACAATTAGAATAATAGATTGGTTTTCATATGATTAATTTGCAAGGGAACTTTTCCTTAACTGTGTAGGAGAAAAGTCACAGCGGAACTTCTTCGTGCTGTGATGGGGACTCCTGCACAGAAATGATAATCACGTTAGTCTTGGTGCATCTCTAGGTGTTTATTGCTCTTTTGAATTATACTCATTATGTTCTAGAACGTTTTGGCTTCTTTGGAATGATTTATAGCAACTAAATGGATAAAGCACTCTGACTCTCTTTTGTCACCAATGAAATCATGTGAAACTTTTGAGTTGATTCATTCATGAACATTCATATAAAAAGGTACCTTCTTCATCTAGGAACTGAAGAAAGGAGAGTTTCTCTTTTTTAGAGACCTGAATTGAAAAAGGACCTTAGTTTCATCTACATTTTTAAAAATCTCACAGCTAAAATGAGGCTCTTAGGTAAAACTGCTGAAATACCTGGTTAACAAGTCACACTTTGCAGTGAGCAGTGCCTTGAAGGAAGAGCATGGCACGGAGCCCTTCAGCAGCAGCTGTGCTTGTTCATTAGATGCTCAGAAATAGAGCTGTGGCTTTGGTCATGTTTGCAAGTCGCCGCTTTCTTAATAACGCGTGGCTTTTAACTTGATAAAGACAGATGGGTGCGAAGGATGCGCACTCCAAGCCCAGTTGGAGTGCTGCTTGCTTTACTTGGAAGTCACCGGTGGGAACAGTTGGATGGCGGAGGCAGGTGGCTGGTTAATCCTTCTGTAAGCGGTGTAAGCTCAGGGCACCTTTTGCTTGTGTCTCTCTCCAGCTTGTTCTTCTTGTTAAGCCTGGAGTTATTCAGGATTCCTTCTAAGCCCCGTCAAGTGGAGGGGCCTTGTAGTTTTACGTACACACTGTGTAGAGCCATGTGAGGAGAAAGGCTGCCAGAGAATTTACCTCGATAGGGGACGACGGATGCTTAAAGCGCAGGACCAGACAGCAGCCCGTACAGCAGCAGAACCTGTTGCCCGACAGCCTCCTGTCTTTGGTGAACGGCAGCAGAACATGAGAGTCTGGAGCAGAAGGTCCCAGCTGGGCAGCAGACATCTGACGTCCTGCTCAGGCAGGTCTAGCCCCAAGGCGCTGTGGAGCCCAGAAGTTCTTGCAGGATGGCAAGCTCCTTTAGAACCCCAGGAAGTTCAGAATGCTTAATTTCAGTGACTTGGGGGATTTTAGGAAGCATTTCTGGGAGTGCCTAGCTACGTCTAAGGATTTGTGAAGGTGACCCGAGACGCTCCCAGGATCGTGGCCCAGGACCTACTTGAGACAGGAGGAGTGATAGCATGAGGAGTGTTGAGCCCTGTTAACTGTTTTTCAGTTCATATTCATACAGGAGTTAATCCAATCACTCCTGCAGCTTTCCACACTGGAGTGATAAGCCGGTGTGTTGGATCAGTCTGTTTTCTCCTTAGGGCTTTCAGGACTGTGCTCCTAGGACTGCGGGCCGCCATCAACTCAGGTTCTGTCCCCACGGACTTTTTTGGAATGTTTTTGGGAGTATGCCTCTTATACTGATGAAGTTGTCATAGGAACTTGGAGTGTCCGTTACTCTACTGGTATGAATCAAAAGATAAGGAAAAGAATGGCGTGTGAGGGAGTGGGGAGGGCATGGAGGCGGGGGACGGGAGAAGGTAGGGGAGTAAGCTCATGTGAGAGAGTGTGAAATTGGTTTCAATTTCGACTTAAATTTAGGTGAGACTATGGATTTTTTTTTCCTGTCTATAATGGTCTCACTTTATTTTTAGAATTTTTTTTTTTTTTTTTTTTTTGCGGTATGCAAGCCTCTCACTGTTGTGGCCTCTCCCGTTGCGGAGCACAGGCTCCGGACGCACAGGCTCAGCGGCCATGGCTCACGGTCTTAGCCGCTCCACGGCATGTGGGATCTTCCCGGACTGGGTCACGAACCTGCGTCCGCTGCATCGGCAGGCGGACTCTCAACCACTGCGCCACCAGGGAAGCCCTATTTTTAGAAATTTTTTATTAAAAAACTTTTGAAGTGTAGTCAGTCGCTTTACCGTATTGTGTTAGTTTCAGGTGTACAGCAGAATTATTCAGTTACGTGTAGTTTTTTCAGATTACTTTCCGTTGTTGATTATTACAAGATATTGAATGTAGTTCCTTGTGCTAGTAAATCTTTGTTGCTGATCTGTTTTATGTATAGTAGTTTGTATCTGCTAATCCCAAACTCCTAATTTAGCCCTCCCCCCAACCCCCTTCCCTTTGGTAACCATAAATTTGTTTTCTGTGTTTGTGAGTCTGTTTCTGTTTGGTATATAGATTCATTTGTATTATTTTTAGATTCCACATAGAAGTGATATCATATAATGTTTGTCTTTATCTGACTTACTTAGTAGGATGATCTCTAGGTCCGCCATTGTTGCTGCAAATGGCAATATTCCTTCATTTTTATGGCTGAGTAATATTCCATTGTGTATATGTACCACATCTTAACCCAGTTTGTCTGTTGATGGTCACTCGGGTTGTTTCCGTGTCTTGGCTATTGTTAATCGTGCTGTTATGAACATTGGGGGAGATGTATATTTTTTAATTAAAGTTTTCATTTTTCACTGGATATATGCCCAGGAGTGGGATTGCTGGGTCGTATGGTAGTTCTACTTTTAGTTTTTAGAGGAACCTCCATACTGTTCTCCATAGAGGCTGCACCAGTTTACATTCCCACCAACAGTGCAGGAGGGTTCCCTTTTCTCCACACCCTCTCAGGCATTTATTATTTGTAGACTTTTTGATGATGGCCATTCTGACCGGCGTGAGGTGATACCTCAATGTAGTTTTGATTTGCATTTCTCTAATGATTAGGGATGTTGAGCGTCTTTTCATCTGCCTGTTGCCAGCTGTATGTCTTCTTTGGAGAGATGTCTATTTAGGTCTTCTGTCCTTTTTTTTTTTTTTGATTCAGTTGTTTGTTTTTTTGATATTGAATGGTATGAGCTGTTTGTATATTTCGGATATTAACCCCTGTCAGTCACATCATTTGCAAATATTTTCTCCCATTCTGTAGGTTGTCTTTTCGGTTGCTTGATGGTTTTTTTTTGCTGTGCAAAAGCTTTTAAGTTGGATTATGTCCCATTTGTTTAGGGTTTTTAAAATTTTTTTTTATTGGAGTATAGTTACTTTACAATGTTGTGTTAGTTTCTGCTGTACAGCAAAGTGAATCAGCCATATGTATAATATACATACATCTCCTCCCTCCCAGATTTCCTTCCCATTTAGGTCACCACAGAGCACTGAGTTCCCTGTGCTATACAGTAGATCCTCAGTAGTTATCTGTTTTATACATAGTAGTGTATATATGTCAATCCCAATCTCCCAGTTCATCCCACCACTGTTTTGCTTTTGTTTCTTTTGCCTTGGGAGATTGATCTAAGAAAATATTGCTACAATTTATGTCAGAAAATATTTTGCCTATGTTCTCTTCTAGGAGTTTTATGGTGTCATGTTTTACATTTAAGTCTTTAAACCATTTTGAGTTTATTTTTGTATGTAGTGTGAAGGGAGACTATGGATTTTTAACCCAAGTTTATGAACACTCTGACTTTTGTTTTTTTCTTTACTGCAGATGTGCTTTCTGTATATTTCCCGTGTACTCAGAGGCTGAGATTTAATAAAGCTAATAATTTTTATTTCTTCATCAAGGACATTCTTAAGAGAAACTGGCTCTTTTGTTTTAACAGCTAGAACGTGGAGAGGAAGAATACGTGACTTCTAGCACTATCTTGACTTGTGCTCAGAGCCAGCGGTGTCCACCGTGGCCTGTGTGCCATTGGCGCAACCAGCTGTAAAAGATAGACAAGTCTCAGTATTACTAGATTTTACCCCACAGACCCCGCCGGAAGGGTGCCAAGGATCCCAAGGGGCGGGTGGACCACACCTGGGAACTTCTGAGGTAGCTCAGGGGCCTGGGACAAGTTAAAGGGAATAAACTGGGACATTCAAAAGCTCCTGCTATCACCAGCACGCCAGTGCAGGTGGTTTCAGCTCCTGTGACCCCGGAGTCCCGCGTGACTGCTGTTCACTGCTCTGCGTGTGCTGCTGGGGTTCTGTCCCTGCTGTTTAGTGGCCCTAACAGTTACTAGACAGCATGTGTGATCAGTTAACGCACAAAAGACCAGAGAGATGGGTAGGACGGTCATTGCTCTTCTCCTAAAGAGAAGGCAAGATGCAAAACCGTGGACACAAAAGAAAAAGTTTGAAGGTTTTTGAGGTTGAACCCTGTGCGTGAATAGTCAGTCTACTCTGTTAAGGTACCAGGGAGGGTGATGACCACGGGTGAGACCTAAGCTCTTTCTGTAATGATCTCCCGTCTGCCAGCTTCCTGGGTACAAGTGCTGGCCAGGCAGGTGGTGGGTGGAGGGAGGTGCCCCACAGGCAGCAGGATGACGGAAGCAGAATCGGCCTTGCCCAGCAGGACTCTGACCAGAGAAAGTGGTGGGAATTGCGTGGTTTCAATCTGTCTTTTCTTTCTCTGTAGTGAAGAAGTCTGCAAGCGAGGATTCACGGTGATCGTGGACATGCGTGGGTCCAAGTGGGACTCCATCAAGCCTCTGCTCAAGATATTACAAGAGTCCTTCCCCTGCTGCATTCACGTTGCACTGATAATCAAGCCAGACAACTTTTGGCAGAAACAGAGGACTAATTTTGGCAGTTCTAAATTTGAATTTGAGGTAACTTCCCTGTGTAGCCAGACCAACTAAACCAGTAGGTGTGGTTTATTAAAAGCTTTTCCGTCATCATTTTAGGCTGGTTATAGATTTTTAAAAACCATGTATTCAACAAGAACTGCATATCTGACGTACATATGACATGCAAAATTAGTTATTGTGTAAAATAACACAATTAGGCTTGTTTCTCGCCTTATCCCAGTGGGTGTTTTGCCCATGGAGGGTTTAGGTTCCAGGCCTCTTGTTTCTGGGTAATGGGGCTACTGGGGTGTAAGGCGTGTGTCTTAGAAAGAGAAGCCTGTTTCCTTTTACTACACAGGATGAAATAGCTTTACTGTTCAGTGCAAGTGGCTTTAGGTGGCTTCAGAGTCATCATCGTTACCTCAGCCTTGGAAATAAGGGAATGTTAGGGAGAAATGCCCAACTTCACATTTCCTGAGGAAAATGTGTGGGAGAGACTGACTTTTCATCGTGTCCTGGAGAGGACGGTGTGCCGTGTATTTCACACGTCAGGTCTCTCGTTTATGAAAAGGGAGAGGTTCCTTGAAAACCTATGTGGGGCTCTGGATTCAGTTAGCGCACAAGGTCGTTGTCTTTCAGGTAGTGTGTAAAACAGACCTCAACCCGCTGGCTTACTCTCCTTTCCCCTGGAAACTGCTCTCCTTACGTAAGCTACCAGGGTTCTGACAAGGCTTTGATGCAGCTGGTTTCATCAGATGATTATGGGGGAACGTATTCGGGCCAGCTGGAAACTGATTCATGCCGCATTCTGTAATAAAATTTAAGTGTTTTCTAACAATACATTATAATAATTGTTAGTCGAATAGATCGCTTCCTCTAGCCACTTTGCCCAAACATTAGGTTTCAGTGAATGTATTCACGTATTTCAAGGTTAACAACAATAATAGTGTTAAACATACCACACAATATTAATTCTTAAGCTTTATGTTACATGTTACACACACTTTTCAATGTCTTTTCATGGGCACATTACTTGCATTTTAAAATTTCTCAGTCCATGGTATTGATTTTCAACCTGAAATCGGAATTTAGTTTTAATTTGAATTTGAAACTGCACCCAAGAGGTTTAGGTGAAACCAGTAAGCCTTTATCTTCACACACAAGAAGAAGTGATTTTGGAGGACAGTTGGTTGGATATTATATTAGTTATTCTCTTGACGCAGTATGTAAAGTGTGTTGTATTTAATGATACACGTTTTAAGCAGAAATAACGATGTGGTGGTATAATGTATGCAGGTTTTTGCTTGTCTAATTGTGATCTTTCCCTCTGGGCCTTTAAAAGTTTCCTGCACTGGCTTTTCTATTGAACTTGTCTGTACATTATCACGAGCTTCTGTCTGTGAAGTGATTGTCTCCATGGACATTATTAAAGTCTGGGCAGACGAGACAGGGATGAACCGACAGTCACGCTTCAGGCAAAAGTGCTGGCCGAGGAGCCGCCCCTCTTTCTCGCTCTGCTGCCTTTTGCCATTCCTTATGTCAGACAGCACAGAGATACAGTCCTAGGTTTCTCTAAGGCTGGAGGTGACAGAGGTGGGGGCTAAACGAGCCTTTCTCTGTTTTATCTTTTGGTTCTAGGCCACACATCTTTTCCCTTTCCCTTTGTCTTCATATTTACCCCACCTCACCCCCAGTTATGTTTTCCTTGAGGCATAATACTAACTCTGCGTCATCTTCTGATAGGATGAGATGAAGATTTCTTGCTCAGGTTGTAATTGACCAAAACTTCGTTAGATTGGAGTGTAGTCGATGATGTATTGAATACAACACTTGTACTGCTCAGAATCGCTGCCGGTTATTGCAGTGAATGAAGCATTCCCTCTCTCTCCAACTTTGTGAGAAGAGCTTCTGCCAGCTTTCTTGCTAATAACCCTTGTGTATTTTCTACATTTTAAAAAAGCCATTCATATTCTAATGTGCCTAAGATAGTGGGTTAATTTCCGCATTCTTGGAAAGAAATCTAATATCTTTAGCTGTCCTGAAATTCATACGATTCTATAGTTTGGGGTATTGCAACTAACATGTATGTGTTGCTCTAATGGATTTGTCGTTCACTGACTGTACTAATGCCTCTTTCATTTACATTTGTTTTTATGGGGCCAGAGCAAGGTATGTTACGTTTTCTATAAATGGATTGCTTGCTTTAAGTTTGAAAATCTGTGATTAAGCGTTGCAAACTGCATTATGATAAGACCGTATAAGATTGGTTCATCTTCTCATACATGATTTTTTTTCCCCTTAAGACAAATATGGTCTCTTTAGAAGGCCTTACCAAAGTAGTTGACCCTTCTCAGCTAACGCCCGAATTTGACGGCTGCCTGGAATACAACCATGAAGAATGGATTGAAATCCGAGTTGCTTTTGAAGACTACATTAGCAATGCCACCCACATGCTGTCTCGGCTGGAGGAGCTTCAGGACATCCTAGCTAAGAAGGAGTTGCCGCAGGATTTGGAGGGGGCTCGGAATATGATCGAGGAGCATTCCCAGCTGAAGAAGAAGGTGACTAAGGCCCCCATAGAGGACTTGGATTTGGAGGGACAGAAGCTGCTGCAGAGGATTCAGAGCAGTGACAGCTTTCCCAAAAAGAACTCGGGGTCAGGCAACGCGGACCTGCAGAGCCTCTTACCCAAGGTGTCCGCCATGCTGGACAGGCTGCACTCCACGCGGCAGCACCTGCATCAGATGTGGCACGTGAGGAAGCTAAAGCTGGACCAGTGCTTTCAGCTGAGGCTGTTTGAACAGGATGCTGAGAAGGTAAAAGACGGGGGAGGGACGCTAAAATGCGCCACGGAGGGAGGCTTCCTGGACCCTTGGGTCTCAGCAGCCGAGGCTGGTTTGGTCAGGAGAAAGGGCAGAATGAAAGGGCTGGGGAAGGGTAAGCTACTCGCACGGCATCGGTGGGAGACCAGCAGTGTCGGTTCAGAGATCTCCCCTCAGTCTGCTTTCCACTGCTACTCCCTGTGCAACGCAGAGCTCTTCTAGAAACTTAAGAGTTGCTAATTACTAATAGTTTGGTTTAGAATGCCTGTAAGATAGACGAGAATATTTTCAATTAAAAGAGTGAAAACTTTGTAGGATATATTATTGAAAGCAGTAGTTGTTCGAGTATTTTTCTAATAACTGCTCTTCCACTCATAAAAGCCAGTGAGAAAAACACCCTTCAGATCTACTGTTGAGTATGTTTTTACAATAAAAGGCGAGTAATGAATTAAAAATAATAGCTTCTGGGAAATAGAGGCAATAATTACTTACGGTTTCATGTTTCCGTATTGTGCTCGAGTCAGACCAACTGGCCAAAGTGAGCTCTTGTCTGTCTCAGCAACGTGAAAGCAGGACACTTATTTAGAGGAATACGTTGCAAGCCGTGAACGTGAGTGAATTGATCCCTCTTAATTTGAGCTCACTGAATTTTTTTTCATGGACAGGAAAATTTTTTGTAAAGTTAGAAAACATTAAAGATCTTTGCTATAAAAGGACCTTTTGAAAGGTGACAATCCACCACTATTTTCCAGTAATATTATTTGGTAAGCTTTTAACCTCTCTTTATGGTTAAAGTACAGCTGACCCTTGAACAACACGGGGGTAGGGACGCTGACGCTTCCTGCAGTTGAAAATCCAGACTGCTCTCTCTGCCTCCAAGACAAAGGAATTGATAAATGACTCATCCGAGGACAGCAAGCTGAGACAGTTTGGATAGAATCAGGCCTCCAACTCTAGTTCTTCTGATTCCATATATTGTGATCTCTAGTTGAACACAACTCTCCCCCACACTTAGTTAATTTAAAGATGTGTAAAATGAAAATATAGGTACTCATTTGTTGAAAAATATCTGCATATGAGTAGACCTGTGCAGTTCAGACCCGTGTTGTTCAAGGTTCAACTGTTGTGCCTTGTCAAAGATACTAGAAAATCTTCCTTTCAATTACTAGACAAACAGGTGACTGTCCCTGGAAGTCACATTCACATCACAGAAGCAGTGCTAATTGATAATCATTTCTTTTTCCTTAAATGTTTTCCTGGGAACAATGAAATTAACATCCTTTTCCAGGTAGCATCTGTATAGAATCTTAAGAGAGACGTCATTGTTAAGGTTTTCCCCCATTTCTTCTTATTTTTACGGTAAATTTTATTGTTTGCATTTGCACAGGGATTTTTAAAAATTGTTTTATTCTTGCACTAAAGAGCATAACCTTTTAGTCATTGGAATTGCTGTCAGTAATCTGTGGTCAAAGCAAAGCCCATCCAGAAACCTGTAAGCTTGTACCTTCACCTAACGGGTCTTTTTTTGGCAGAGCGGTGTGCCTAATGATGTAGTTCAGTATGGAAGAGAGACTGGGTTGGGAGATTAGAGTTCTAACTAGCCTGGGGGATTTGAATACCTCTCTTTACTTATCTGCTCCTTAGTCCCTCATCTGTCAAAGGAGCACACTAGATAAGGTTTCTTGTAGCTCCTGCAAGTTCAGAGCTGCTGACTGGTTAGAAGTCGAGAATCTTCCGGGCCCTGGCGCCTGAGAGGTTGTCAGAGGAAAGACGCCACTCTTTCTTGGTTCGGTCCCGTGCTGGGAGCCGCGTCAGTCATTTCTTTTTCTGGAGTGATTCCAGGTTGTCTTTCTTCATTCCGGTAGATGTTTGACTGGATCACGCACAACAAGGGCCTGTTTCTGAACAGCTACACTGAGATTGGGACCAGCCATCCTCATGCAATGGAGCTTCAGACACAGCACAACCACTTTGCCATGAACTGCATGGTAAGATCCTGTGGGAACAGAGGTATCCTGCCTGTGAAAGTATAAAACGGGAGGTTATTTACACAGATCATTCCCAGCACACTGCGGGGAGCCCATGCAGGGGCTTCTGACAGCTCAGCGGCAGCAGCTGACCTCCAGGGGCGGGAAGTTCTCTGTGGGAGCAGTGTTTACGTAGCTCATTTTAAGTTTTAAGCAAACAGAAGGGAAAACAAGCAAACAGACAAACCAGTGAAACTCGAACCAATTACTTGGCCAGTGCCACGTGCACGGTTTTGAGTCTGGCTCCTGCGCTGTACGTCCTGGGAGCCCGCGGGGACCCAGAAGAGCTTTTCAGAGGCCGAGTGAGCCTCCGAGACCAGCCCAGTGTCAGTTTGCTGGCCGCCTGCCCTTCACACTGAAGGAATAAGCCAGCCTGCTGCTCACCTGGAGGGCATCCTTCAGCTCTCCTCAAACGTGAGCGCTCCTCCCAAGGTGAACGCAGGGAGTCGGGTCTGGACGCCAGCCGTGCCTGGAATCCTCTGGCTCCCTTTGATGCCCTGGGCCTCTTGTGATTGGACAGCTGCGAGACTACAGTGCAAACAAACACCCCAAAAGAAACCCAACAGTGAATTTTAAATAACGGTCTTATTACATTTTTGGAGTTAATATAACTGCAGTAGAGCTGTATGTTGTTCTGTAAGGGTGTATGGTTCCTTCTCTAGAGAGTTATTCTAGAAATTTTCACCTTAGAGACAGAGTTTTGGTGTGGACTTTGAGCCAGAATTATGAGAATTCACCCTCTTAGCCTTGTAACGTGCGTTAAAGAGCATTGAAACGATATGCAGACGGGGTCTTCGTTTAAATTAGTTCAGTAAGATGCCATTTAATTAAAGTTCAGTCCACAAAGTGCTCCACTTTAGGTAGTTTCGAAGATAAGATTCAGCGATAAAATGTTTGTAATAGACACTGTCCCAGAAGTTTGACACTGTTCTTGAGTTTGAGGTAAGAGAATTTTGGGGTTAAGTGATTCAGCCTGGGGAGAGGTGAAGAGAACGCAAATGTGGGCCTTTGGGGGAAGCGTCTTAGAAGAATTTGTTCCTAAAAAAATTCCTATCAATTTTTCAGAATATTCTGAAACTTCTAGTAATGGGGAAAGGCACATTCAGCCGACCATATCACATACTTTAAAAACTAGAAATGTTAAAATATATTTTGTAAAAACTAGAAGTGACCAGAAAGGGTCCTCTCCCTCCCCCAGCATTACTGTGACACATTTAGGAATCAGCAGAAGAGGAAGCATGTGTGGAAGACAGGTGCGGTGTGTTATGAATGTAGAGGTTTTAAATTCTGACTCTTGTTTACCGCATGACCTTGGGCAGTCTGTTTAATCTCTTTGAGCCTCGGTTTCCTAATCTCTAAAGTGGGGATAATCTCTGCCTAACACGGTGTTACATTATTTTACTTACTCTGTATGTGTAAGACACTAAGCAGAGTGCTGAACACAAAGCAAGTACTTGATAAATGGTAGTTATTATCAGTGATGTTATCATCTAATTAAAAATACTGTCAGTATTTTTAGTATATTATAGTAAGTAAGAAACTCTTAAAAGTATGGGTGACTTTTTTTAGGTTTAAGTATATTTTCTGTTTTTCTATGATACATTTTTATCACTTCTCTAAGGAAAAATTTTAATTGAAAAAGGATGTGGTAACCCTGTGCATTGCGTGGTGACAGCTCCTGGGAGCACTTTCCAAAAGCCTACCAGCCCCTGGTGCCGAACACCTCCCTGAGTCCTCAGTATCTGTCTAGGACATTTATTTATGCAGAACCGGGGCCTGTTAACCTTCAGCCCTTTCTTGTGCTATCTCCAGTGTTTTCAACATTTTTTGACAAAGAAAATGAAAGTGCTAGATATCAGTAAGCAAAGTTGATAATCTTTTAAGAAAGCATTTTAAGGGACAGCAACAATCGTGCTCATTCTCCTGTCACAGGTTTTTTTTTGTTTTGTTTTTTTGTTTTGCGGTACGTGGGCCTCTTACTGCTGTGGCCTCTCCCGTTGCGGAGCATAGGCTCCGGACGCGCAGGCCCAGCGGCCATGGCTCATGGGCCCAGCCGCTCCGCGGCACGTGGGATCTTCCTGGACCGGGGCACGAACCCGTGTCCCCTGCATCGGCAGGCGGACTCTCAACCACTGTGCCACCAGGGAAGCCCCACAGGTATTTTTAAAGTCTATGATGGTGAGAGTCTAGGTGGAGGTACTTCTAACGTAGGGAGTTGTACGTTTGTACATTGCCGTGCTTGTGTACACACTCATTTGGGCTGTGTGCCACGTGGTTCCTTCCTCCTGCAGTAAGTGACAGAGGTATGGACGAGGCATAAAGCATAGGGCAGTACTCTGTGTGCGGAGCACAGTCTGTTTGAGGGGATGAAAGTGATCCAGGGCCCTGAAACAGCGTCAAGGGGCACCCACAATGAAGCCATCCAAATGGACAGCTCTTCTCCGGATGCTGACAGAGGGCATCTGCCGATGCTCTTCCCGACAGACCTTTTGGGTAGATTTTCCTCTTTGAGCATACAGAGAAAGCAAAACTTAGTGAATGTGGCCACCTGTCACCGGAGAGGGAGAATGCATATGAGAAGGGCAGACACTGCTCTTGACCTAGAGGATGCTAGTTAGAGCGTTAATGCCACGTGAGGCAGTGAGGCCAGTTCCCCATGGATTGTGGCCTTGACTGGATGTCACGGCCTCACAAAGTACCCCCTCCCTGCCGCTGCAGACACCCGGATGTGTGGTAGCAGATTTGAGCCTGCAGCCCAGAGAAGTACCTCCGAGACTGGTGTCTGGCTTTCTAAACCCAGATAAAGGCGACTCCACCTAGTTTAGGTTTAGGTCAGAAGTGGAGGAAAGGAATGAGTAAATGAAGGCACAGAGACAGAACGACAAGTGCATTCTCTAGGTCGCTTACTTGGGTGGGCTGGAGACTAGGTGACAGTGACAAGGCTCATGTAGGGGTCCAGGTGCGAGCCAGTGGGAGATTGGCCTGGAGGACCATGGCAGGAAGGAGGAAGACTGTAGAGGAGTTTGGGTAGGTTGGATAATTAGATTTGTTTTAGGGGCAAGAATCGGAGGAGCCAGAGGTGAGTCTACGGTTTGGGGAGACCCATTGCAAGGTGCAGTGTTGTGATGTGTCACGAAAAATAATGAGTAATACATACATGGAGAGCAGCAGCCTGGGATTTGTTGAAGGTGTGCATTCCTCACTCTGCCTTTGCTGCAATGTGACGCTTAAAGAAGATTGAAGGTGGGAGGGGAAATACCATAGTGAGAACTCCTTTTGCAAGAAAAATGCTTTTTTGTTTTTTAAAAACCTTGCACCCTTATTTTGCGGCAAGCTAGTGGACTTGAAGACAGAGATTGCAACACAGTAGAAAAGTGTGATTTAAAGTTTGAACACAGCACTGTTCTGTTCGCACCCCAGTTCATATTCCTTGGTGAATGTGAATCCATTTACAGATTTTCTGTTGGCACCAGAAAGATGACTTGGGCTTATGTAGAAAGGAGAGCTTGTTTTCACACAAAATAGCCTCTGGTTGCTAAGTACATAGTTTGTCGTTTCTGGCTTCTAGTTACAAACTGCAGCGGTGGGTTCCTGCAGTTCTGGGTAACTGCTTGCCACCTGGACCCTTTTCGGGATTTGAGGCCAAGAAGCGAGTCATAGTGCGTTTGTGTGCACCCACTTGTGTGTGTGACTGCTTTGTGCCTAACAGTATCCCTCCCAGCTAGTTGATCTGTAATTTTGCAGTTTCTTTTTTTTTTTTTCGGTACGCGGCCCTCTCACTGCCGTGGCCTCTCCCGCTGCGGAGCACAGGCTCCGGACGCGCAGGCTCAGCGGCCATGGCTCACTGGCCCAGCCGCTCCGCGGCACGTGGGATCTTCCCGGACCGGGGCACGAATCCGTATCTCCTGCATCGGCAGGCGGACTCTCAACCACTGTGCCACCAGGGAAGCCCTGTAATTTTGCAGTTTTAAAAATAGAAACTGAAACCAGTACCTATGGTTTATGGAAATCCAAATAGCAAAACACACGTCCTATTATCCCCCAGCTGAGTCTGCTGTTAAAATGTAACTTTTCAGCGAGCGCTCTCCGCATTTCTTGGAAAGACAGCCCGTGCGCCTTCCCCTGACCAGCCCCGCTTTCTACCCCCTTCGCAGAACGTGTACGTGAACATAAACCGCATCATGTCGGTGGCCAGCCGCCTGGTGGAGTCGGGCCACTATGCCTCCCAGCAGATCAAGCAGATCGCCAGCCAGCTGGAGCAGGAGTGGAAGGCGTTCGCGGCCGCCCTGGACGAGCGCAGCACTCTGCTGGACATGTCGTCCGTCTTCCACCAGAAGGCAGAGAAGGTCAGTGCCTGGTACCCCCCGCCCCCGGCCCGGAGCCCTGTGTTCACACGGCAGAGCCCAGGAGGACGCTGGGGCCCTGAAGTCCACGGCTGCGCCCAGCCCACTGTGCAACCTCAGGCACGCTGTTCCACCTCCTTGTCCCTTACTTTCCTCATTTGTAAAGTGGAGAGACAAGTACGGACTTGAGCGGCCGTTGCATGGTGTGACGCGGTCACTCATTTAGCTGCTGCACTCATTTAGCTGCTGCTACGCTGTAGGGACGCGCAAGTGGCAACTGCTGTCCTTTATCCCCTCCTGTCCCTCCTCCTCATCGCTTGAGGATTCCACTTAGGGTGCTTTGGCAGCAAGTAACAGAAAGCCTGACTCTCAGGTTTAGACATCAGGGGTTGTTGAGTTCTTATCTCACAACACAGGGAATTGCAAAGTGTAGGGAGTTCCAGCCGCACAGTGGTATCAGGGCTGGGTGGGCTCCTGGCTGTGCCTGGCCATCCCCTTGGGGTGCCGGGTGTGTGCTGCAGCTCCCAGCGCCGGCCCCTCTACTGTGGTGTCCCACGCGTGCAGGATAGCGGTGTCGTGTCCTCTCACTTTCTCGGGGCGACAGTGTTTTCAGAAGGTCCCTCCAGCCCAGCCCGCTTCCCTACAGTCCCCTTGGCCAGGAGAGGGGTGCCTGCCCACACCCTGGCTTCAGGGGGGTGGGGAAGGGCAGTTCTGGGTTCTCAGCCTCCCCGGCAGGGGCAAGGCTCTGCCAGCCAGGGCTGCGGTGGGAAAGTGGCTTTGGGATGTGGTTTCCAGTAAGTCATTTGTGTGGATTCGGCTTCACATCAGCTCCATCTGCTGATGTGCTGGCCACAGTATCTTATTTCAGAGGTAACATGTGATGTGTGCCCTTAACGCTCCCCACATGCCCACAAACAGGCGAACCTGCTTCAGTGAACACGCCTGGAAAACAGCAAAAGGAAAGTGAATTGCTGTGACTCAGGTGCTAGTGCTGGAAGCCTGGGTGGTGAAATACTTTTCAAGACATAGAGGAAGAAAGCTCAGGAACTTCGGGCCACTAGGAAGACACAAGTGGTTGCCTCAATTGAAACTACTAGAGCTTCCTCAGGGATAGTTATGGGAGGAAACCTACATTCACAGGGATCTGCACTGACGCTTCTAAGAAGGAAATAGTATCGCTTTAATCTAGAAACAGTCTCTGTTGAGGAGTGAAGGCAACAGGGAAGGTAGAGGCCCCACCTTGCCTGGCATCTTGGCCAGGCAGCTGGAATGTTGCACCAGGTGCTAATTATGAGTGATCTCAACTCTAGAAACCTTTAAAGTCTGAAGCAATTGAGGAAACAGAGTGGGATAGAAAGGGGAAAAAATCTTAAGAGTCTCATGTGAAAGCTGTGAGTAGGGACTTGCAGGTTTCAGTGGTCAGGTTTTTCTGCTAACTGTATGCATTTCGGTAGTTTGATGATAAAGGAGAAGCAAAGCCCCCCACCCAGAAACAGTTTGAATTAAAGTATCAGGAGCCCCGTTCGGCCTAAAGCAGCGCTGTCTACCCTTCTCTGTGGCCGCCTCTGGTCCCTGTCATTGTCAGGGTCGTGGTGTGTTGCGCATTGGACATTATCGTGGGTGGGAGAAGAGCTTTGTGGCCCCCGCTCGTGTGCCATCTGGAATGGTAACATATAGTGTGGGCTGCAGCCACCCCCTGGGCCTGGAGGTGTGTGAGCTGCTTGTGGGCCCCTAGAAAGGTCCTTTAAGACGATGAGAATAAAGTTGAACAAGGACAGGCTGCTTGGGGGAGTAATGGATAGTCTGAAGCATAATAACACATAGGGAAAATCTCTCTAACCATGGCAGCTTTCAGAATTGCAAATAAACCCAGAAGATTAATTGCTGCTCTGACCTACCTGAAAAGAATGTAGAAATGTGGGTGCCATGGGGTGTTTTCCCACCAGTGTTTTATTATAAAAATTTTTAGACATGCAGCGAAGTTGAAAGAGCCTGAGGTGTTTTTATTTGGATAAAATAATGGCTGTCATTTATGGATTTGAAGGAAATGCAACTAGATGAATACACTCTGGAACAGAATTTCGTGGGATCCTGCGTGAGCTCTAACAGTGCTTGCAGTCCCTGCGTGTCAGTGGCCAGAGAAGATGCCAAACATGACCACTGACGTGCAGATGCGCCGAAGAAGATCACACCTCCTAAGTAGTTTTCCTCTTCCCAGGAGAGGGATCTCCGAATAGGTTAACTTCGTTCCCTCTTTTTAAATGCTCCGTCTTCTAGTTATGCTTCAGCTGTTCTCATAAACTCGGTAGGGAAAGGACCAGAACCTGGACATCATAAATAAGGTTTCCATCACAGCCACCCCTTTGACCCTCATCCAGTTCTCATTAAGAATTTAAATGTGATTAGGGTGACAGAGGGCTCAACTCTGTGACCCTGTGGTTAATGGTGTCACTGAAGGAAGCAGCCTTCCCGGAAGGATGACAGCTCGGCTTTGGAGGGGTGTGTGCTGCGCGCCCAGCCTGCTCCTCTGTCTCTGTGGGTGTTCTTCTGTTAGTGTTCATTTGTGGGTTTTTTTAATTTTTGAATTTTATTTTACTTATTTTTTTATACAGCAGGTTCTTATTAGTCATCAGTTTTATACACATCAGCGTATACATGTCAATCCCAATCGCCCAATTCATCGCACCCCCACCCCCACCCCCCCGCCACTTCCCCCCTTGGTGTCCATACGTTTGTTCTCTACACCTTTGTCTCAGTTTCTGCCCTGCAAACCGGTTCATCTGTACCATTTTTCTAGATTCCACATATATGCGTTAATATACAATATTTGTTTTTCTCTTTCTGACTTCCTTCACTCTGTAGGACAGTCTCTAGATCCATCCACATCTCAACAAATGACCCAATTTCGTTCTTTTTATGGCTGAGTAATATTCCATAGTATATATGTACCACAACTTCTTTATCCATTCGTCTGTCAATGGGCATTTAGGTTGCTTCCATGACCTGGCTATTGTAAATAGTGCTGCAGTGAACCTTGGGGTGCATGTGTCTTTTTGAATTACGGTTTTCTCTGGGTATATACCCAGCAGTGGGATTGCTGGGTCATATGGTAATTATAATTTTAGTTTTTTAAGGAACCTCCATACAGTTCTCCATAGTGGCTGTATCAATTTACATTCTCACCAGCAGTTTTGGAAGTTTCCCTTTTCTCCACACCCTCTCCAGCATTTGTTGTTTGTACATTTTCTGATGATGCCCATTCCAACTGGTGTGAGGTGATACCTCATTGTAGTTCTGATTTGCATTTCTCTAATGATTAGTGATGTTGAGCAGCTTTTCATGTGCCTCTTGGCCATCTGTATGTCTTCTTTGGAGAAATGTCTGTTTAGGTCTTCTGTCCATTTTTGGATTGGGTTGTTTGTTTTTTTTTAATATTGAGCTGCATGAGCTGTTTGTAAATTTTGGAGATTAATCCTTTGCCAGTTGATTCATTTGCAAATATTTTCTCCCATTCTGAGGGTTGTCTTTTCGTCTTGTTTATGGTTTCCTTTGCTGTGCAAAAGCTTTGAAGTTTCATTAGGTCCCATTTATTTATTTTTGGTTTTATTTCCATTACTCTAGGAGGTGGATCAAAAAACATCTTGCTGTGATTTATGTCATAGAGTGTTCTGCCTATGTTTTGCTCTAAGAGTTTTATAGTGTCTGGACTTACATTTAGGTCTCTAATCCATTTTGAGTTTATTTTTGTGTATGGTGTTAGGGAGTGTTCTAATTTTATTCTTTTACATGTAGCTGTCCAGTTTTCCCAGCACCACTTATTGAAGAGACTGTCTTTTTCTCCATCGTATATCTTTGCCTCCTTTGTCATAGATTAGTTGACCATAGGTGAGTGGGTCTATCTCTGGGCTTTCTATCTTGTTCCATCGATCTGTGTTTCTGTGTTTGTGCCAGTACCGTATTGTCTTGATTACTCTACCTTTGTAGTACAGTCTGAACTCAGGGAGTCTGATTCCTCCAGCTCTGTTTTGTTTCCCTCAAGACTGCTTTGGCTATGCTGGGTCTTTTTTGTCTCCATACAAATTATAAGATTTTTTGTTCTGGTTCCGTAAAAAATACCATTGGTAATTTGATAGGGATTGCATTGAATCTGTAGATTGCTTTGGGTAGTAGAGTCATTTTCACAATATTGATTCTTCCAGTCCAAGAACATGGTATTTCTCTCCATCTGTTGGTATCATCTTTAATTTCCTTCATCAGTGTCTTACAGTTTTCTGCACACAGGTCTTTTGTCTCCCTAGGTAGGTTTATTCCTAGGTATTTTATTCTTTTTGTTGCAATGGCAAATGGGAGTGTCCTTAATCTCTCTTTCAGATTTTTCATCATTACTGTATAGGCATGCAAGAGATTTCTGTGCATTAATTTTGTATCCTGCAACTTTACCAAATTCATTGATTAGCTCTAGTAGTTTTCTGGTGGCATCATTAGGATTCTCTATGTATAGTATCATGTCATCTGCAAACAGTGACAGTTTTACTTCTTCTTTTCCAATTTGGATTCCTTTTATTTCTTTTTCTTCTCTGATTGCCGTAGCTAGGACTTCCAAAACTATGTTGAATAATAGTGGTGAGAGTGGACATCCTTGTCTTGTTCCTGATCTTAGAGGAAATGCTTGCAGTTTTTCACCATTGAGAATGATGTTTGCTGTGGGTTTGTCATATATGGCCTTTATTATGTTGAGGTAGGTTCCCTCTGTGCCCACTTTCTGGAGAGTTTTTATCCTAAATGGATGTTGAATTTTGTCAAAAGCTTTTTCTGCATCTATTGAGATGATCATATGGTCTTTATTCTTCAATATGTTAATATGGTGTATCACATTGATTGATTTTCGTATATTGAAGAATCCTTCCATCCCTGGGATAAATTCCACTTGATCATGGTGTATGATCCTTTTAATGTATTGTTGGATTCGGTTTGCTAGTATTTTGTTGAGGATTTTTGCATCT